TCCAAAAGTATACTCTAAAGCTAGTGCGGAATAATTGAATCAAAATGATCAGTTCCCATATGAGGAAAAGTTAAATATTGGGGGCTTTTTTAGTTTTAAAAAAGAGTAAAAGGAGACTTGAGAAAGGCTTATAAAATAACACATAGTGGTAGAAAATAGAGGTTTTTCTTTCTCTTATAATACTAAAACTGGTGTGATCTAATTAGGTTGTTTCTTTGTGCCATCACGGCATCTCTGACTTACAGCAACCTTGTGAATGAATGCCTCCCACAAGGTCCTGTTCTTCACAGCCCTGATCAGCTCTTGTAAACTCAAAGCTGTGGCATCCTTCGTGGAATTAATGCATCTCATATTAGGTCTTTCTCTTATGCCTTTGACTCTTCCTAGCATTACTGTCTTCTTCAGTGAGTCTTGCCTTCTTGTGATGTTCCCTAAGTATGACAGCTTCAGTTTTGTCATTGTTGCTTCCAGGAAAATGATGCCTAGTTTTGATCTAGACTCGCTTGTTTGTTTTTCCGTTGATCCAGGATGTTTGCAAAGCTCAGCCCCACCATAATGTTTCAAACAGATTTCTTCCTGTCAGCTTTCTTCACTGTCCAGCTTTTATACTCATACATTGTGATTAGGAAGACAATAATTTGGATGATCTTGACCTTGGTCTCCCATAAAACCTGATAATCTTTTCTAGTTCCATCATTGTTGCCCTTCCAAATTTCAGTCTTCTAGTTTCTTGGCTGCAGTCCTCTTTGAACTGATGACTGAGCCAAGTTTTCAAAATTTTTCACAATTTCAATTTCCTCATTGTTGATCTCAAAGGTGTGTAATTCTTCTGTAGTTTTTTTTTTACTTTTTTGCACTTTCATCAGATGTAATTTCAATTCATTGCTGCTTTCTGCCAATATGGTAACATCTTCTTATCCTAAATTAGTGTCTTCCGTCAATTTTCAGTGCTTACTCAGATCCTAATCCAGCTTTCCTTATGATATATTTTGGTACAGATGAACAGATAGGGAGATAAAATATGCCCTCAGCTAACATGTTGCCTGAAGGAAACCATTCTGTTTCTCCATATTCTGCCCTAAGAGTGCAGTGGTACCTCAGCTCACAAATGTCTCAGTTCATGACCAGATCGGGTCATGAACAGAAATTTCAGAAAATTTTTGCCTCACGTCATGAACTCTGCATTGTTCATTTGCGATCACATCCGTCTTCCCTGCACGAGCACAACGGCAATCACGCCCATCTTCCCTGCATGATCGCGGCTGCAATCTTTGTTGTTCTTTGTTACTTTGTTGTTTTTGTCACTTTGTTTCAAATTTTTGTGATTTAAAAAAATGGTTACAGAACAGATTAACCTTATTTACATTGAACCTTACCGGGAAATTTGACTTGGCTTACGACCAGTTTGGGTCGCGACCAGAGTTGTGGAATGGATTAAGTTCATGAGCCAAGGTACCACTGTAGTTTCTTGCCTATGATAAGATTATGCATCAGAATAAACAAGTACTGAGGCACACCCATTTCTTTCAGGACTATTCATAGATTATTGTAATCCACACAAAGGCTTTAATCTATAAAGCATAGACTGATCTTCTTTTCATATTCTTGATGTGCTCCTGTAGCTAATATATATTATTATTATTTCGATTTATATCCTGCCTTTATCCTACAAAGGGTTCAAGGCAGCTTACATCTCCTCCTCCATCTTATCCCCACAACAACCCTGTGATGTAGGTTGGGCTGAGAGTCTGTGACTGGCCCAAAGTCACCCAGTTGGCTCCATGGCTGAGCGGGGACTAGAACCCAGATCGTCTGAGTCCCAGTCCCATGCTCTTAACCACTACACCACACTGACTCTCACATATATATAAATACATGCATAATAAGATCTTGAGTGCCTCTTTCTATTCAGTATCTAGCTTGAACATCAGTCATTTCTTGCTCCTTTTAAGGTAATATTTTAGTTGCAACACCTTAAGCATGACTTTGCTCATTGGAAATTAGAGTAATGGTCCAGTAAGTTGCTGCATTCTTCTGCATCACCTTTCTTGGGGATTGGAATGTATATGGGACATTTCCAGTCTGTGGAGCATTGTTTTGTTTGTTTTACATATTTGTTGACATACCACTAAAAGTAATGACTGGGAAGTTTCAGAAAAGCCCAGCAGTAAACAGTAGTTAAACAATGGCATGTGCAGTGGCTGAAAATTTAGATGTTTTTACCAGAGGATTCAACAAATTCATGAAAAATGAGGCTATCCCTGGCACCTAGTCAAAATGACTATGCTACCTCCATCATCAAAGGCCTCTGAAAATCAGTTTTCACAGAACAAGAGCCAAAAAGGTGCATCTAGTTGCCATTGTGGGAAACAGAATGCTGAATTAGAAAGGGCTTAGATCTGCTGCTACGTTGATTTTATCATACTAGATGG